TCCCATTTGCCTGTTATTGTTGAGATATTCCCTGTTCTCTGTGTACTGAAAATGAAGGAAACCCTCTACGTATTACTTCCTATGGTGCACAAGTATCCTGTCTACAATTCTTTTATTTCCTCCTCCTGGCACCCCACAAATCTTCAAAACAGCTAGCTGGCAGCTTAATTCAGACCAACTATTTGTTAGTACATAAAATTACTGCAGATAAAAAGCACACTTTAAAATCAGATTCTGTAATTCCATTAAGCCCCTTCTGTCTGCCTCATACATGTCCCGTTCTCCACAACTCCATCAAACTGAAGTCAGAAAAACCAGTGTGAAGTTTGGGACTGATGTTTTTGCATCTTTGCTTTTTCTTTTTCTCATACGAGAGGTAAGACAAACGTAACTTTATCAGTCTGAATACGCAGGACATCCTCTGTCTGTCCATTCAAATAACTAAACACTGCAAAGCCTTTTCTTGTGAGGTCTGATACAGACCAAATGTGAAAACCTTTCCACTCTGAAGGATCTCTTTCTAGATTATCACTATGGATACTCACATTATAGCTAAATCTTGAGAAACAAAGGTTTTATAGGTATAGAAGCCAAAAACTGATGGATGAAAAGGTAGGGGTACTGGGGGTTTGGGGGGTTTTGTCTAGCAACATCTCTAGGTTATGGCAGCACTTGTTGTGTTTTGATACGGTCTCAGACCCTGACCTTGGAAATAAATAAGTATTTTCCTTGCACACAGCATGCACTTTATGCCTTCTCTTGACAAAAACTACATTCATTAGAGGGTTTTCGTTTCCCCATTACTCACCCAGTTGGTACAATGATTGTATGATGTGTAACTCACTCCCACGGCTGAGCCCAGGGTTATGGCTTTACAACTACAACCTCTCATTTCTTCAATTTCTTGGGTTTTATTTCCCTCCTTCATTCCACTTTAATTATGCAGAAGGCTCAAAAAAGGTCTTGTTGGGTTGCAGGGGGTGGGGGGTGGGGAGTTGTTTGGGTTTTTGGAAGATAGATGATAGTTTTGCATAAGGCTATAGGACTCGGGTTCTTCCAGATAGCTCTGAGTACTAGAGGGAAGGTGAGATACACCGCAACTGTTTGAATACGGACTTAATAGATAAACAAGAAACTTTTTCTGCCTGAAAAAGCAAACATTTCTGACAATTCTATGGCAGTGCTAATGAGCAATCATAATGTCATCAAGCTGTCATTTCCAAGGGCTTACAAATATTCCTTTGAAAACCACAAAATGTGAATTCAAAGAAAGCAAAGCAGGGATAGAAAATGCAACAAAACCATCTCACCGCGGAGTTCCCCGCTGCTTTGCCACTCTTGTGATACCTCAGTGCCTGCAATGGGATCTCTGCTTACTAATACTTTCTCTTCCATAAAATTTCACTTGTTATTTTTGGTTGCAAAGAACTGTGAGAGCATTAACTGAAAGCAGTTATAAGAACAAACCTCCAGCTTGGGGGAA